TGCAAAGAATTTTGTGTCAATGAAATGCATAGTATGACAATTGAATCTTGTCAATTGACATAATAATAATAATAATAATAATAATAATAATAATAATAATAATAATAATAAGGAAAATAAATAATAATAGAATTGTAAATGTTCATTGATACAGTTGACCTTATTCATATTTATACGTTTAAAGTCGATAGATATTTGTTGAGTCAGTCAGACGACGTAGGCTTGTTCATTTACACTTCATGAAACTGATATTTCAAATGCTTGTCAAAAATGGTTACATTCATAATGTCTAGATATAGTTCAGGTTTCATATTACGGCGGTTAACAATATTCACACATGACTGATTAAACACACTAGTTTTTATTACTATAAATGATTTACAAGTGAAAACAATAAATCGTTTCAATGGACTTTTATAATTAACCGCATTGAAATCTAACCTTTTCTAATTCTTATTAAGAATGATCATTTACAAAACAACCATTTAATAAATAATCAGTGCATATTACGGAAACATGATTACTTCTTTGATATACTGTCAAAGTCGTTTCATTAACCCATGGTTTACGGTTGGTTCACCTGAATTATACATATTGCAACCAGTAAGTTATCATAATGATTTATTGATATGTTGATTTGTTTCTCGAACTAACAGACCATGTGTTACCAAAAAACCTATGCATACACTTTAGTGATAGTTTGTTTATTAATTTGGTATTAAAGATTTGACTACCGACCTCATTCAGTAATCACTATTATCAAATATTCAAACCGGTTTTCAGTTGCTTTTTTCCAAAAACTTTCTTTTTATGTGATATATATAAGTACTCGTGACATTAAAATTGTTGATCGGAAATCAAAAATTTATCCCAATACACATTCACTAACAGTAGGATTGCACTTAAGTTAGTGTTTTTTTCTTAAAATGTCTAAATTTCTTACAAGACTAAGATTACACAAAAAGATTTATTCATTATCGTTAAATTTCAAATTCAAAAATCAAAATTCTGACATCCAATCACAGCTGTAGATACGATTTCAATTTCAACTAATCAGATTACAAAGATGAACCGTTTACGACCAATCAAAAAATTATTAAAGATAACACAATGTTTGTTCATTATCACTTGAGCACACACTTGCAAAACAAGTCCACCAATCACCGATCGCTAAATTTTTCTTTGACACCATACATTTTTTTAGAAATGGGTGGTAGGGAATCTTAATTGCCGTGGGCAAAATGTCAACCAAGGATAACATTAGCTTAACAGGATAATTTTTGGGATATTTTCTGAATATCCCAACACATACTTACTTTAACCTCATCCCTATGATGGTCAAATTAAGCTTTAGGAACGAATCAGTCAGAATCAAGTATACGACTTCTAGAATTCTAAGCGAAATTCAAATGTTACTTACTACGAGTAATAGAAGAAATACTTTTGTTTGATGTTCAAAACGTTTAAAGTGGTAGAAAAGGATCACTTCTTGTCACCATAGGACTAAAAGGATAATACTATGGTTACAAATGTTCAATTTTGTTTCTGGCATGTTGACAATATCTTTAAATCCTAACCGTAAACCTGTCACTCTGGGACAAACATTCATCTGGTTTGATTATATTTCATGTAAGAATCTGCTAGCGTCTCTTGCATTTTTGCATGAAATTCATTCATACACTTTTGTATTGTAGCTAGTGTCAATTCGTAATGAAAACTTTAATCTTAATCAAGAATATCATGGAGACTCTTCAAAATCAATTATTCCATCCTTATAAGATTTTAAGAAAGCGGATGATCTCTATCCACAGAGGATGCATTTCTGTGTGTAGATGTCTTCCATTTACAGACAAAACAGTAGAAAATTTACAACAAACCCATTAAATATGTAAAATCTAATTATTTTGTAATATTATTGTTTTCTTGACGAGACTATAATTTTGGCGCGAAATTCATTTAACCATTTGGTTTAATAGTGTCTTGGCATTTTAGTTGATATCAGTTCGTGATGAAAACCTCAAATCTAGTTCTTAACCCTAACCATCAACTATAAATTATAATCCTTATTCTTTAAACTGTTTTATAATATAGAAATTGATTTGATTGGTTATAAATATTCCTTTCTACTTTGTCCTATTTTGATTGGTTAATTTTTGTTCTTTGTAAATGCATTGATAATATTATGATAAGCAAATTATAGATGTAACCTGTTATGTTAGATTATTATTTTACTAGTTGAAATCATCAGTCTATTAAAGCTAGACTACCATGGAATACCTGAAAGCATTGAATGGCCATTCATCCTATTCTTAGATTACTTACAAAACATGAAATAGGAAAAAGTTCGGCAAGACTCTAATTTATGGACGACCTTTGAACGAATCTTAAGTAGCCTTGAGAAATATTAGCCAATCAGTAAACAGTTGGTATAGAGTAAAAATATATGATACAAAACCAAGGAAATAAAGTGGATACACTTCTCATACGTGGTTCAAAAACTTGTCAAGGTTAGAAAGAGGTTCAGAGGTTCTAAAATCATAATGCATGCAGTAGAGGAAATCATACATACGGCTACAGAATAGTCGGCCTCTGGAGCCATGACAAAGTTTCAAAAACTCTTTCAGCCTCGACCACATAGCTTCAATATTGTTTATGTGCACTCCGGTTGTTGAGTGCACAAAATGCTACTTGTGGATAACGACATGATACAAATAACCAAGCTTATGTAGGAGTCTGTACGCTCTCCAAGCATCCGTATATATTATAGTGCCTGGCTGCAGCCAGTGTTACTGGTGCTTTTTGTTATGGATGCTGAGGAATAATGTGCCAATCATCATCATGTTAAGTCTAGTGATGTCCTTGGGCGTTAAATGAACATTACCTATTGGCCGTTATTTATTTCACTCGTTAAATATTGTACAGATTTTGTTTTCTATTTTTATGGTACGATGTGGTCTGTTTGGTTAGTATATAAATAGAGTATGTCTGAAATATAATGATTCATAACTCAGAGGGTGTGTGACTTGAGTTCTAGACTCAACTGTCTGGGCTAGACAGGGAAGCGGCATCAATCGGGAATCTAGGTCGTCCTTACGTGTTTTACGTGTCACTGTAATCGATCGATAATACCTTGCTTATCAAAACCTGCAGTCACCCGTTACAAGACTTTATTATCCAGTTCTCAATAATTGTCGTAATTTGCCATGGTTAGGAATTATGTCAGAAATTTATTTAGCCAGATGGATGAAATGCATTCGCGTTAAAATCCGAGATCTATTATCTTATATCTGATTGATTCATCCACAAATTATAGTCCCGCCGTTTTATTTGTTATAGCCTCTCAATTATCACGTTTTGTACAAAATTCCCTGTGAAGCGATCGCACGTTAGCATTAAGCACTGACGTTGGCACCGTAACCTTGAAATCTCTAAGACGCTTCTGATTGGCTCGTTCATATTATTTATTTTAACACATAGATATTGGTACAAGGAGGCACCAAATACTTATGCGCCACACAAATCTCATTTGATATGTGTGAGGGCTGTGATACTGACCGGGTGCCCAAACCAAAGCAGTTGGTTTTCTTAGGGGGCCACACCCCGAGCCTTCGACTTGAAGGTCTGATCCACAAGGCAGTGGAGCATCGTAAGGAGATGCAGCCCCATGGAAGCCGGTGACAAACAATTGGTTCATACACCATTTGTTCCCTCAGGGTACTGGAGCCCATTGGTTTGGAATCCGGTTAAAGCGCCGGACATTCGCTTTTCGTCCTCTCATTTTCGTAAACATCACCCCCGCCACTAGAAGGCAGTGAGTAGGACTTCCCTGACAGAGGCTATATACGCGTGGCCATGTGAGAGCATTTCGAGAGGGAGAGCGGACTCTCCCTACTCTCGACCGTACCAGGGTATTTGGGGGACTCGTTCATAAGTTAGAGTCTTGCTAAAAGTTCAACTAAACAATTTCATACTTCACTTTTATTTCCCCCGTTCAATAATTAAACAGCAAAATTGGAAAATAATTAAAAATCATGATAATGAGCAAAACATCAGCAAAATTTTGTTTAAAAAGCATAAACATACATAATATTTAAACAAGTTGAAAATTATGAAATTATTTGTTCTTAATTGAAATTTAAATCGGAGGGGGTTTTGTGGAGATTGTAGTAATTTCAACAGTTAAGATGATGAGTCAATTGAAGTTAGACCACCATGGAAAATCTGGAAGCAGTGGACGGCCATTTCGTCCTATTGTGGGACTCCTCAGCAGTGCGCATCCAGTGCCCCCAGGTTTTCCATGGTGGTCTAGCTTCAATGGACTCACGATCTTAACTGTTGAAATTTATATGGTTTTTTTCTTGAGAAAAAAAGTTTTCCCTTGGATACTATCAACGAAAAAAATAAGATCTTATCTAGATGAAAAGAAAAATGAATAAATTTGCAAATGAGTAAATAATCATAAAAATGTCAGAAACAAAATGAACAAAACAGTTGAAATGCATATGATTTCATTTGTAAAAGTACATTGAAACAAAAGGAAAATGAACATTTGTATGTATGGATATGCATGCGTACGTATGTGCATGTGGGTTCGTGCAAGAGGAGGTTTAATTAAACTTGTGAATAAAAAATGAAAGAATTCGATAGCATAGTTTACTAAATGTTTTGCACATAAGACGGATAAAGGATTGAAGGACAGAGAGAGTTATCATTCAATAAAGAATAGAATGTTATGTAAGTGTGAAGAAATCAGAAATGATAAACCTAAATATTTTTATGCTCCATAATAGCAAAATAAAAGGAGCATCATTGGTAATATTATTACATCAATCAATATTGTATAATGAAGCGTTTATTAATTCTTTAATAAAAGTCATGTCCGCAATAGAGATTTCAATATAAATAAGCATAGTAAAGAAATGATCACGTTTACGCTTTTCATGTATTATATATATATATATATATAATGTATATACATCATAACCATGTTGTAATCATTGAAATAACTCAATATCTTAATATAAATCTGGACATTTACTCCAATCTCTTTTCCAATAATCACCGGTCATTCGCCATTCTTCTTGTTTAGTAAATGGATTCACTGATGGAATAAACCATAATGGACTAATAATTTGATTGTAACTGTTATTAGAACTTATATCCGATGTAGTAGTAGTAGTAGTAGTAGCAATACAAGAATTACATGAATTCTTATCATTGTCATTGTCATCAGCTAATGTGGAACGATGCCCAGTTGAATTTGATGAAAATGCTTTTTTAAATGGATTATTTGTAAAAAATTGTTTAGCTGTATTATTCACTGTAGCGCTATTCATATCTGTAAGATTTAACTGTTTACCAGTCGACTTATGATTAGTTGATATTGGCCAATTGAAATTAGAGATTTTTCGTTGACCATTTAATGATTTACGCTTATAACGTTGTTTCTCTTCTAAACGTAATTTTTCACTAGCTGCTTTGTCTGAAAGAAAAAATATATATGAAAGAATCAATGGAATTTAAAGGGAAGGACTAGAGAAAACAATGTAGTGTATTTATTTTATTTATTTATATAAACACATAAACATTGATGCAATGAAACACCAAATATATATGTGTCTTACTTCGTCATCCGATTTGTGTGAAGGCTGGAATACTGTCCAGGTGCCCAAACTGAACCAGGTCGTTTTATTAGTAGGCCACTTTCCAAGTCTTTAACCTAAATGTTTAATCCATAAGCCGATGGAGCAACTTTAGGAGATGCAGTCTCATGGTCGCGGGTGACCAACAATAGGTTCAAATGTCTTTTGTTCCTTCAGGACACTGGAGCCCATGTGCACCATTGGTTTGGAATCAGGGTTTTCCAACTCCCCTAGGGAAATCCTCCATATCCACCATCCCGGTTAAAGTGCCGGACATTCGCTTTTCATCCTCTCAATTTAGTAAACAACACACGTGGTGTGGGGTAATGGGTAGGACTTCCCTGGTAATTGCTGTATACGTGTGGCCATGAGAAGGCATTTCGATAGCAAGAGCAAACTCCCCCCAGCCTCGGGCGTACCAAGCCATTCGGGGCATAGTATGAGATCGAGCCAAGCAAATTCAAGAAAATAATTCTTAGGTTTTTAAACAAGCATAAAAAATGAGTAACTTTTTTTCGATAGTGCTCAGACTGTTTAGAAGTGCTAGGAAAAATTCTTTTTGACATTATAGAATTAAATATTAAATGTACCAATTGCTTGCTTTTTCACGGAGAGATTTTACATCACACATGAATCGACCAGATGTTGCTGAAAATTCACTTTATTTGCAGTAAAACTCGGAGAGAAATCATTTTACTAATGATTCATGGGATAATAAGTGAGCTAGTGAAGTAGGAATGTTAAAACAGACAACAGTTTTTACATAGGATGCATTCATATAGATAAGGTGGCAGATATTTTTCTCGCACGGTTTCACCTTAGTAAGCCTTCAGAGAATTCGATGCAGATCTCGTAGATGATGAACTTTTTACAGAGCTATTTTTGTGACTCAGACAGATAAATATATTCAAACTCGAACGAGCCTTCTTATACAGAGATATTCCTACAGAATTAAGATGGGAAAAAATGGTAAAAACCCTTGTGAAACCAATAAACTTCCTAAAACCCTTAAACTAGCAATTTTTAATTTCACCTATCAGGAATTACTTTAGATTTATACAGACTCACCGATTATTAATTAAAATGTGGCTTCAAAATCACATCGTCATTCTAAGAATCATTTAAGCTTAACTTCACACTACAACCACTGAGAAATAGGAAACACGAGGAGGGTGCTTCGTCCTAGTATAAGATTCCTGGAAATTGTGCGTCCATGACCACACTGGGAATCGAACTACGAACCTTTAGATTTCGTGGTGATTTTTTAACCTGAATAAGACCAAGCCGTGATACAAACTATGAAATATAACGATCACTAAAAATCTCAGAGTCCAAGTGAGCGACAGCAACCAGTACACTTCAACCATTTGGGGAGTGAAACAAACATCATCAACGGCATTGGCTAGTGGTGGAGGGATATCGCGAATCGATTGAAGTTACACATGTAAACAATGGGACGTCATGCTCAGTGATGTAAAGGTTAAGTGCTGATCATGAGATGTGAATGTTCTGGGTTTAATCCTCAGTGGGCTGTGGATGTGCACTATCGAGGAGTGCCATATATAACTTTACCTGGTAAATCTTTAGCCGTCTTATGGTTTGTACTGATGGTGGAATCCAAAGGGCCTAAACACAGAAAATTAAAGTGGATTAGTCTAAGATGTTTCTAGTTTCCATGACTTCTAATTAACTACGGATGAGTTGAATAGCCGAATATCCTGTCGATTTGACTGCTAACAGAGTTCGATAAACAAACAATTTGTTCAGTCTAAGCAACACTAATAATAGGGATCACACTTTATATGCGTATCACGTTCACTAGCAATTATCATTAGTGACTTGATTGGAAATGAATTCACAAATTTCTGTTCCGAATTCATAACAAGTAGTGTCAACAAAGTTAAATATGAGCTAAATGTTTATCAGTGATCTTAAATAGCTATCTGGATAAGATTTAAAAATATTGAGTGCGATATTCACTCAGACTAATGGCCACAATACAAATCGAAGACCAGCTTAATACACATGACATTACTTACTACTCAGTGGTCAATCAACATACACCTAAATTCTAATGGAGGTCAGTTACTGTTTGAAAAGCTCAGCAGTAACAACTATGACTGCGAAAAGGATTAACACGAGATCGGATCCACCAGGGAATATCAGGTCCCTCAAGATTACAGGTACGCCTTGCTGATAAGTAGTGTCAAACAGTAGGAAACCTAGGTTCAGGGTTTCATGTCGACTACCTCTAAACAATGCATGAAATCAGATGGTTAATCAATATGGTGGATTATAGGTAATCAATACGATAACCTATTTGAGACATAGGCTTGAAAAATTTCAATCAAAAACATTATATACAACAGATGGAATGCAGCCAGCAGGGGAATCCAGGATGCGTGTTTTAGCCTACTTGAGACCTATTGAATGGATATATTTGAATCATAGAGTTGATGTTCACTCCAGGATTCGGACCCAGTACACTTTTATTCAAACACCCGCTACACATAATCCCTTTAGCTACTGAGTATGGATAGCCACTCCTTAAATGCAGGCAGCAGCTGCATCCAGCTAACAATTCCCAAATAGGATGAAAAGTGCATCCTAGATCCCATTACTAGCCAGATTCCATTTAATCTATTAAAAACTTGGGATATAACGGCTATATCGAGGCAATCAGCACAGGATGCACATATGCCAGCTAAGATTGGTCAAAATCCAGTCAAAAATATCAATATATATATTCCACAATGATAATAAGTGGGAATCAATAACAATCATACTCACCAATAAGACCCATTTCAAATAAACGTATATCTGGACGATATCTGGAATCTGTCGGTGGAAGAAACTGTTCATACATTGAATTTCCTTGACATGGAATTACTTCCCTAATGTTATTTGTACAATTCGACATGATCACGCTTGAATTTTTTTGATTATCAGTTATATTATCATTACTCATTGTCGATTTACAGATTGTTAATTCATTTAAACCCATTGTGTACTGTGTGAAATCATAATAGTCCTTTGAATTAATTGGTTTCGGTGTAGCAATCCATAGACAACGTTGCCCAGTTAGTGGTATTTCGAATCCATAATCCATTGATTCAATACATTCAGAGCTGTTGGTCGATTGTCCATCAGCATCATCATTATCGTTGTTATTACTGTTTTTCTTTGGCTGGTTCTGCGTGTGTGTGATTAGTTCCAAAGATAACCGGAAGCACATCAATATATTTGTGAAATGATAAGTAAGGAAAATGAAATAAGAACCGACTGATCATTATATACATAATGGTGAAATAGAAAGATTATTATACTGGATAATATAATGTAAATAATAACAGTACAAGGTACTATAACCTTCGTATTACGTCATCATGTCTATTAATTGATCTGAGAAAACGTTGACGAAATTAACGAAAACTTTGGAAAACCAAAAGCCAGAAAAGCAGTTTCCCTTCGACACGAAACGGTACGTACATAATTTTTCCAATATTGAACTAGATGTAGTACAGCTAGAAGCTTTATCTCTGGGACCTAAATTCTGTGATAGTAGACATAGAATCAACCAATTAGATACTGATGTACAATTTGAGAATTTATTTTCACAAACAACTGACTTGATTCCTACCTCATTGGAGGACCTTGCTCGGTTTAAAACCACACTAGTTGATAGCTGCCAACAATACAAGAATAGTAAGGGTACCACAAATCACCTACTAACCAAGCAGCACCGTGACTCTTTAATGAAACTAAGAAAAGATGAAACCCTGACCATAACCAAACCAGATAAAGGAGGAGGTATAGTTCTCATGAACAAAAATGATTACATGGGAAAAATGGAAACAATGCTTAGCGATTCTAGCAAATTTCAGAAAATTACTAGTAATTGTGACATTAATAATAAAGTAGAAAGACAATTGGCCAATTTCCTTAAAGATCTAACGAAAAAGGGAATAATTACGACTGAGATTTACGATTCAATTAAGCCGACTGGATCATTTACACCACGATTGTATGGTTTGCCTAAAGTACATAAATCGGGTCTTCCTCTACGCCCAGTTCTAGATATGTACAATTCTCCTTACCACAAAATCGCAAAGTGGCTAGTACGAATCCTAGAACCTTTACACAAATCAGTTGTTAGAAATAGTGTAAAAGATGTCTTCAACTTCACCTCCAAAGTAGAAAATATTAATGTCAGTATGAAAAATATGATCTCATTGGATGTAGAATCTTTGTTCACCAACGTACCACTTATAGAGACTATTGATTTTATATGCAAGCAAATATCAAAGAAACAAATCAACATTGGCCTGCCTAATGATAGCCTAAGGGAACTGCTCCTAAGATGCACTCTGAATGTACATTTTGTCTTCAACAATACTTACTATAGACAAATAGACGGGATAGCCATGGGCTCGCCTCTAGGCCCGATTTTAGCTGACCTCTTCCTAGCAAAGCTAGAAAACGGACCTCTCAATGAGACTATTAAGAAACTGGATTTATATTGTCGATACATTGACGACACATTCATTATCGTAGACCAAAACACTAGTAAGAGGAACTCCTAGACCAATTCAACAGTGTTCACCCAGCGATCACCTTCACTGGTGAAAGCGAGCATGATAAGAAGCTGAGCTTCCTTGACGTCACACTAAGCAGACGAAGTGACGGCACATTAAGTAGAAGCGTGTATAGAAGAAACCCCTCTTCATGCCAATATACTCACTTCTGCAGTTTCACACCCATTCGTTACAAGAGAAATTTGGTCAGATGTCTCACGAACAGAGCAAAAAGGATCTGTACAGTAGACACTCTAAGTCAGGAGCTTGAATTTCTCAACAACTCACTGACCGAGATCGGCTACCCCAGCGCGTTCATTAAGAAATACATGCAGGATATAATAAAGAAGTCGGAGATTTCGACTGTTCGTAAGAAACCTTTATACATGAAAGTGCAATTCAACGGGGATGTGGCTAGTGACACTCTGAAATATAGGTTAACCAAAGTAATCACCAAGACATTCTACGCAGCCAATCTTGCGTTGACCTTCTCTTGTCGACCAGCGATGTCTACTCAAACGAAGGATAAGTTACCTGAGTTGGCCTCTTCCATGTGCATTTACAAATTCAGCTGCTCCTGTGGAGATAGCTATATAGGGCGTACTACCAGGCAACTTAACCAACGAATGAGTGAACATCTACCAACTTGGTACATAAAGGGTCAGAGAAAAACCATTCGCAGTTCTATACTAGCACATCTTATTGATAGCGGTCATGCAGTAGACAAGTTGAAATCATTTCGAGTTATCTATCGTATACCTCCATCATTTCCCGACGGAGTCCGTTCCCGTCTCCTATATATAGCTGAAGCCATTGGAATTCGTACATATAACCCCAATCTATGTGTACAGAAGAAATACGTGACTCCCCTATCCCTTCCATGGCCAGTTATAACTTAACTAACAATTTTTATTTTATTTTTATTTTAAATTTTATTATTATCATTATTTATTTTATTCTATCTGTGTTATTGTTAACCTTATTTCCACATCCATTATTTGTTTGTCATTATCCGCCTCTTTGTATTCTTCACTATCTAATTATTTACACACATCTTATTACGTAATGATTTTTAATGTTTTGTGATTACTATTCCTAGTCTATTTACCCATGTTTATTTGACCTTCTATTTCCAACGATTAACTATTGATAAGAGCTTTGTTATTGTAGTTTATTATTCTCACTATTATCAGTTCACCTGTCTTCGTACTATCAACTTGTACTTTTACCTATTATGTGTAGTGACTTATTCTATTTCATTGTGATTATTGACTCATATTGCCTTGATTGGTTTAAAACTTTCGTATAAATATTCATGTATATTAGAGTAAAGCCTGATGACGATCTAATTGAAAACAATTGTTCGCTTATATGTGTTGTTCTAATTTTCACAATGGGAATCTTTAATATTAATTGTTTGTATTTCTTCAAGGAACTAATACTTGGAATTTCATATATATATATTCATATAATGCAGGTACATCCAGCTGACAAGTCCCAAATAGGGCGAAACGGACGTCCTGGATTCCACTGCTAGCCACTATCCATCATTACTTACAAAAAGCTCGTGAATTAATGCAATATCGAGGCATACGCACAGTATGCATATATGCCGATAACAGACTGATCAATTTCAGTCTAAACCTCAATGGGAAGATACAAGTCAAATAACACCAAGTTAATATATATATATATATATATATATATATATATATATATATATAGAGAGAGAGAGAGAGAGAGAGAGATAGCAAAATTCGTGGTCATAATGTTTAATTGGGAATTATGTCTATTTTGAATAAAAGACATACTGCTTGTATGGAGTTGAAACATGAAGAATTACTACAGGTATTTATGAACATCTATCTACGCAAGATACTCAATGTCCGTTGATCGGATAATATCAGCAACAACCTACTGTGGCAGAAAACAAACGAACTTCCAACTGTAGAGGGAATTAAGAGAAAACGCCGAAGATGGATAGGTCACAATTTACCGGAATCACCAAACTGCATCACGAGGCAAGCTATAGCTTAGAATCTTGAAGACTAAAGGAAAAAAAGCAGTCCAAAGAGGACATTGCTCCGGGAATCGGAGACATCGAAAAAAAGAAAAGCAATTGGGAATAACTGGAAAGAGCGCAGGACAGGGTTATTTAAGGATCCCTAGTCGGAGGCCTAAGTCCCATGAGGAGTGATAAGTGTAAGTAATCAAGTAAGTTCGTATATAAATGTAAAAATAGGTCACGATTTTCATTCATTTTCTTAGCAAAGTATTTTACATCTTATAAATGATTTATTCATTGGCTATTTCAGTAGTATAAGAAACAGTGAGATGATTTTTAGTATCCCTCAAAATCAACGTTAATCAACTTGGTTACACCGATTTATAGAAACACAACTTGTTAGTTGAAAAAGTATTCTAAAAGACATATTTTTTTCAGATGAAATAGATTGTCTGAAAATCAACACGTAATCTAATCTGCGTATCTAAGAAGTCTGTTTATTTACCTATGCATCAAAGACCAATCACAATCCAATGAGTTTTTATTATAAGATGATTGGAGATGGCCTACTGAAGACCCTGGATCTAGGTTTCATGTTAGTTAGTACTCATTAGTGAAGCATGCCTGCAATCTTAAGTGAACTGATTCTCTCTGTAGAATTAAAATTAGGCCTAATTAATAGATATGACACTGGTCACTATTATGACCACTCAGTAATCAATCAATGTAATCTTTTATTATAACATACAAGAAATGAAGTATATGAATACTCTTTTATTGTTCTAACTTTCACTAGGTTAATTTCCTAGTTTCTTATTACGATTCTTTTTTTAATAAAGTGTATGATAAATAAACTTCATTTATGCATATTTCTTCACCTATCAGTTCATTTAGTGTTAAAAACCAGAGTATACTGATCATAGCCGCTTTCCGCTTTTCATTATACTAATGTTATAAGTAAGGTGATTGGAAGGACTCCAATCTTTGAATATGATATCAAGCGTGGTTAGTGTAAAGTAATTCACACACTGATTTTCAATCTGTCCAAATCGATCAATATATCTTTATATTTAACTGCCGACAAAACAAGGAACTTTGACCCATTAATAAGATACGAAAACGTAACTCTGCAAAGTAAACATGTTTTTTTCGGTTTCTTTACCTTGGAATAATATTAGTGCCATGGTGGTCTTAATTTAAAATTTATATGTAATACACCATTAAGGTAACATGTACATCCTTACCTCTTGCGCAACACTGTAAACTAATAAGATTATTAGAGTTGAAATGGCTAGTCGATCTAAGCTAGAACACTATTAAAAACCTGGAAGCATTGGATGGCCGTTTCATCCTGGTAGTGCGTATCCACGATCGCGCACGCGGGATCTGGAAGCAGTAAATTAAGACATTTTTATCAAATTCCCTTATGAAAAAACACTTAACATGATCATTTCTGGCTGAATACTTTCGAATAATGAATGAGTTATACCAAATGAATTTGTCGATGGATTAATGTGAGTAAAACGTTGAACAATCTGATTTGGTTCGAGAAACTGGATGATATTATTTAATTTTACACGAAATAATTGTTTTGAAGCAGATAACATGAAATTGTCAACTACTTAACTGAATTACATAAAAAGATTGAAATTTACAATGTTTACGCACTGGCTAAGCAACTTGAAAGCTCAACGCAATTCATCTTATGTTGAATACTCAGAAGTATGTATGAACAAAATAGTTTATGGACAATAATTTTTAATAAATATTCTATTTGAAGTTTTACATCATGAACTGTCTTTGATAAAACAATCATTGGGAACCAGAAATCATTGAATGAGGACACTTACCGCTGGTGCCTATCCACAAACCCTTCATGTGGATAAAAGTCATGGCATTCAAGTTTCACTGCGAGCTATAAAACTTCGAATCACTCAGTAGGCATCAAATTGTTTACATTTTAACTTCAACCAATTCTCATTACTGCTCAACTATCATCTATTGCGACTGATTACATTTGTCACACATTCAATATGACTTAATTTCACTGGTCACTACTGCTCATCAGAACTCCGGAGATTACCCTTCGAAATTATTCAGATTATGATTATAAGTATTGTTATTACACAGTATTATTGTGGAGATTAATAAATTTGTAATTGTACATCTTAGACTGACTTTGGTGAGGAATTAAAATCTTGGATTTTATTCCTTGTGGTAAAACTTCAAATTCAATAATCTTAGAAAATTCCAGAAATAACAAAACATTCTATTCTCTTTGTATCGATACAAGTCATATATCCCTAGTTAGAGACAGATTAGATTACTACTCGGCGATAATATACCTCCTATCCAAGCAGAATTAAAGAAAACGTCATTTGAACATGAGATTTAAATGATTAACTATTGAATGTGAAAACTATATGCTATATGATAGAGTTATTGATATAGTGAAGCACATTCGTAGCTTAAAATGACAATTTTAGAGGTGTTATATTGATTCAACTAATAATTTTATAATCGTGTTTATGATTTATATTAGGCAACTATAGGAAGCTCTGCTACTTGATAAAGTTTTTCTTAGTTTAAAACAGTGAAGTTTGTGCTGATGATGTCGTTCAGAAGAATGATGAAAGCTCCACAACCAAACCATTCAGCTCAGAGAACAAAACTCTATCAAAATTGCCCACATAAGCTACAAATCTTCTCTATCTCACAGTGAAACGCATGTTACACCAATTTGATTTTAAAATGATGGATACTCACAATTGATTGGTCACTGGGTGGCGATCAATGTCATGCATATCTAGTCTTTATTAGTGCAGATTGAATGCACGAAACCCGGGTCCATGGTTTCTTGTCGACTACTTCCAACCACCATCTAATCTCTAAATGATGGATAATATTTATAATTCAGCTTAATGGTGAATTTCAATATTCACTAAACAATTATTTTTCAAAACTTATTTCATAATCTACACATTTAAACAAATCTAGGGATGATAATAATAATAATAACAATAATAAACCTTCTAAACAATAGGGACTAGAAAAAAAGTGGAAACTTTCGATATTGAAAAGAACAAACACACATATGCACACATATGCAAACACACACACACACACAATAAAATGAGAAAATCAATGATAAAATCAACAAAAACAAACAATAGAATTGACTTAGTTACACTTATTCAATAAAATCGAAATGATTCAATGTTACTGTTAATGACAGTCTCTGTTATTATTATTTAATTTTGATTGTGCTGACTTTAAACTGATCAGCCCTCTTTTAGTTCATAAATAATTTTAAAAAAAAAAATTTATTTGATATAAATAAACAAATAAATAAAAATCGTAATGTTTTTGTTTTAATTAAAAGAATTGCAAAGTGGAACGAATTTTAAAATTCTCACAAAGAAATAAATGTATAGTTAGAGATGAGTTAATTAGAATTATGAATGTATAGTAAGAGATAGAAATACATTTATGCACTGATCAGAATGTTTAAAATGATAACAGGAAATTATTTCTTAGCAAATTGATTCCTATTCCTTGAACTTGAAATCTTGTAACAAATTTTAACCTATTGGTGTTATATTTTATCAACGAACTGATTTCACAGTGAGGTTGAAAGTTTTTCATTTATAAGATTAAAAAGGTTAATTTTTCACTACAGCTCATGTCGGTTTGCGATGAAAATCCTAATCCTAACACTAATTAAGAACACTGAGAGAACTGTTAAAAGCCTACTTGTGTCCTTTCAAGGGTTGGGAAGACACATAATGAAAATTTCTATGGGGAAATTTACTTGTCATCGTTTTGCGATTTCAGTCAGTTTTGTCACATGCAATGTAGAATTTAACACATGTGTGTAGACTCAAGTTTCCATGCTACATTAGCACAGTGAGATAAAATTATCAAGACAAATCGCAGAGTAGCAGGAAAAGTGACGGCATCAATAGTAGTATAAAAGATCACTTGTACTCAGGAACTAAGAGAACATAAAGAATGAATGCATTTACGTATCTACGGACTGTTCCAAACCATGTCACTCAACGTTTCCGACTACTGACCACGGATATCTCACGGACTCCAATAGTTAACTTGAAACTACCTACGTGGATCAATCCAACAATGACTTCATGGACTGATGCCACCTTTTAACTTTGTCACCCCTATGTTCTTTTCAGTCTATTCCTACAAAAGACAACATCGCTCATCTAGGCAGGCGGTGGTTCTGCATACGTAACACACGTTCCAACCACCTTAGCTGATGAAGATTCACTGCTTCATTAATCAAATTTCCATCTCTAGTTAGTACCCTATACTTAACCTAAGTATTGTATTTTTTTACGGTTTACAAACATAACAACCTGTAGATGACTTTAATAGACTTATTAAATATGCAAAATCTGTTTATACTTTGTAATATTATGAGTTTTTTTTCTTCAAAAACCGTTCATTTACAAGATATGTTTTTTGATTGGTCAAGGGTTGGCTGAAAATCTCCGCGGTTAATTTTAAGCTCCTACCTTTATTATACTCTGAATACATATTTATTATTATCTTCATATCAAATAAATTTAATTTAACTGATCAGTTGTAAAGTATACAGCGAAAAAGACTGAACAGTACACATTATGAATTAAATAGATCGCGAATGAATTTTAAGGGTAAGATAAACCTAGAAGTTTTCACAGATTCACTTTTTTTGTCGATTTTTTATTATTTGAAAGGGTTATGGGGATAGCTCCTTAATGGTCATTGATTTACAATGATTTTCCCTGGCTGATGTCAACTCATGTTGATGATAATACAAAGATTTCACTGAAACCATTTAAAATAATATTTGTGCATTTGAAGATGAATTTCCGAAAGAAATCTAATGAAAAACTGTAGCCTGTGTAGTAGTAGTATACAGAGTTGTGAGAGAAGTAAGATGAAAATTATTCAATGTACGGCGATTTGTATGAAGTCAGAAAAAGTGATCGGTAAAGCCTTCGCTCAAAAAATCATGTCCACCAAGAAACGTAATGATCTTTTAGTTCATTACCCTTGTGGAGTTGTATTATGTGTACTATTAAGAAGTTCCAAACAAGGATGAAACAACAGTGAAGATCATGAACAAACAACCTTAGAGGAAAGGGGATTACTATCATCTGCTTTACATATGACAATTCCATATAAACAATACCATATAGAACTATGAAACCCAATCATCAGATAGTTTAATAGGCTAGTAAACTTGTCAAAAGCTTAAAAATGACATTCGGTGTTGTTACAGAATTAATGGTTCCTTTATTTAGTGTAAATAAAATTGGTCCATTAGACTGAAAATGGCAAAAGGAATAATTGTGTTAAAAAAGAGACTTGGTGAACAATGAATATTCTTATCTGATACAGTTTAACGTTAGACTTTTCCACATTTTGCAAGGTTCTCCAGCCATCAATTGATTAGAAGACTGAATAAGTATATGGAACTTGTAAGAAACTTTGATAATTGCACAATTATAGCAAACAGAAATGCTAGTTTGTTTTTTGAAGAAAAAAAAGTAAACATTATCACTTACATCAATGATTTCCTCCTTTTCATTCCAAACATTCGGTTCGACTGTGAATAGACCACGAGACCAATTACCAAAAATTATTCTCTTTAATACATATGAATTATTATGATGATTAAATATATTTTTACTGATAATATTAATAGTAGTATTAACAGTAGTATTATGAGATGTATTTGAAGCTGAAACTGCCTGCATTTTATCTAATGTTGATGGAGCATATAATTCACCGATAACACGATTACAACCATGTCCAAACGAATTAGATGGATGAAATTCTAACTGACAATATAATCCTAACGAATGATTAGTGATACGCAATGTACCAGTCTGTAAGTATCCGAAAGAAAAGTCAAAAGAGTAGAACAAAATAAAACAAGATCGTAATGGTAGTTATGAAAAATAATAATTTTTAATAGATTACCCAACAAATTGGTTTTTATTAGACGATCATTAAAAACCTGGAAACATTGGAAGGTTGTTTCGTTCTAATGTAAGACTCCTCTGCAGTGAGCACCCACGAATTTATCAGATGTCGAACAATTATGTGTTCACTAATGACTAATTTCGAGAGGTGATTCCCGGAATTCTTGTGAGAAGTCCTGATCAGTGACGTTCAATTATGTTAGGTATGAGGTAGTTATTCACAAATGACATTGAACGATGTCTGGTGGGGTATCACGAATTGATTGAAGTTCGAAGTACAAACCATTGGATGCCAGTGTACTAAATGTATCAAGACGTAATATATGTCGTAATTAGTCGGAAACTTTTCTGAAAAAACACTGGTGAAATATATTTAATACGCAGTTAGAATGTGAAAATAACTTTTGTCACAAATCGTCAGCAGATGGAGAACTGTAGAGTATAAAATACGACTGGGTAGTTGTTTCGTCTTAATTTAAGGCTCCTCAATGGTGTCGACCCACATTAGACGAAATAGTCCCAAGAACATTCAATTCTTATGGGTTGAAATTTAATGGTTCACAGTTTTTAACTCAGTCCAATAATCACTGGTAAGTTTCTGCTTGGTATATTACACGGGCTACTGACTTATTGTGGGAATTTTTCGTAATTAACTTACAATCTATTTAATATAGGTGTTGGAGTATTGAACTCAACTGAATTACACAAAATCACCAATCTCTTATTTTCTGAATGGTACAGTTTTTAGCAAGATTCAATGTATTAATGATTGGTCAATTTAATCAGAAGTAAATAATGGTTATACATATCACTGGGAATAGTTAACAGTTAAGTGAACTATTGTTTATCATAAAATAAAGCAATATATTCATATAGTGGGTTTGTGGAGATTGTTTAATCTTATATTTTAAATCACGAAACCACTAGACAACTATTTCATCATAGGGATAATACATCTCAGTTGTGTTTATCCACGAATTTACAGGGGATTAAACCAAAAACCTTCTGATCTCACGGCGAACGCTGAGTCGGCGCATATGACGACATAACTTTCGACTTGAATCCGTTTTTTTTCATTCAACGCTAGTTAATTATTCAACTAAGTGACATGTAAATTTGAATAAACAGAAATTTGATGAATAAAAAGCAACAAATTAAATCAACTGTTCAATCATCACATGAGAACTGAGAGTAAATTAAAATCAGATGTTAATCGAGTTCACTTTTTGAACAGTTACAATTCATAACTCAGTCTGTATGAAATGTTGATAAAAATCAAAGTTCATTAATATTCAATTAAATTGGTAATTACGCAACAGATATACATAGTGGGAGAGGGGGGAAGTTAGCAGTAGTCATTATCTATGGTTACCTAAACAAAATTAGGCGGGACGGAATTCGAACCTGGGACCTATTGGTTGAATGTCGGCATATTTAACAATCAATAATTAGTTGTTTCACATTTGAAGCGATGACATATGTTTATTTTACTTTCATTCTTGACACAATGACTATCATAGTTACTGATATTATATCATAAGATTAACAGGACTGTGCTAAATAGAAATTACTTTACATATATATCAGCAACAAATTGATCACAACAACAAGTAGACTTACATGTTCTACCCAAATTTTACCAGTCAATATATTATGTATTGTTAAATTGACATTTTGCCATGTATAAGATTCATTAAAATGATATAATTGTAATGTAATTAATCCTTTCGGTTGAACGTCGATTGATTTACCCCAAAAACGTAATTTAAATTGTAGAGTAGCACGTAGACTATAATTATCTGATTCAACATGAAAAGCTGTGATTGGTGGATGATGAGATACCTTGAAACGTGAATGAAGAGAAACACGGATGTAAATAATAACAAGGAAACGATGAGTGAATGTTTAGTAAAAGGGAATCTGTGGTGATAGTCTGATTTTATAGTTTACAATGCTAGTTGATTTTAGTTAGAGAACCATTGAGAACCAGGAACTCATAGATAATTGTTTCTTCTTAGTATGGGACTCCTCATTAGCGCTCATTCACGGCTTCATTAGGGATCGAACCCATGAACTTTAAGTCTCACAAAAACAAACAAACAGAATTCTAGTGAGTGGCTCTGATTAGTGAAGTTCAACCATACCGGATATGAAGCAGTTATCCACCAATAACATTTGAAAGAGGTTGCGCAATATTGCGAGTTAATTAAGGTTAGACATGGAAACCATTAGATACCGACTCAACGGTCTAAAGGTTAAGTCCTCACGTGCTCTAACAAAAAAGAAACTTTACAAACACAATGCTTTAATAGTTAGGAATAACTCTATTATAATGGTTGATATATTTTCTTTGTTAATAGTCCTTTGAAAAGAAAACGGTGAAGAGAAGGACACGAGAGACAATTTTCATTGGAATTATACTACGCAATGACAAATGAAATTCGCTGTAATATCGCTATATTTTTTGATGAGAATTCTTCACTGTAATCAAACAAACGATGATGGGTAAGACAATTATTATAATCATTATTACCATATTCGAAATTAGAGAACTTTGCATAACCATCTTCTGATGGTTTGAGATTGGTGACTTAATAAACACAATGGTAGGCGCACTCTTTATTTTGATCAATTAACTATTCACTAAATGTTGTAACGCGTAGTGTGTGGACTGCAGGTTTTGATAAGCAGCGTATTTATCGATCGCCTCTGTGACAGTGGACACGTAAACACGGACGGACGACCTAGAGCCCTGATTGGTCCCGCTTCGCAGTCTGTCCCAGCCAGTTGAGTGAAGAACGCAAGTCACAGCCTCTGAGTTATGAATCATTGTATTTCAAACATACTCTATTTATATACCAAGCAAACAACCCACATCGTACCATAAAATAGGAAACAACATTTGTACAATATTTAACAAGTGAAATAAACATCGACCAATAAGAAATGTACATTTAAGGTCCAAGGACACCATAGACTTAACACGATAATTATTGGTATATTTTTCCGACTATCCTAACACCTCCCCTTTTTTGAAAGATCCGGAGTTAATATCTGGACTTTAAAATTTTCTGCGTCCGTCCTCCCCCGCGAAATAACGTTGGGTCCTCATATACCCAAGCAACAATCAGTCTGATTCTATTTAAAGCATATTTCGCGCATTGAGTAGAGGGTTCACTAAAACTGACTAGATGATAAGGATTAGCGACTCCAGACATGACGTCATTAAGGTTTGATTTTTGTGCAACATATTCTTCAGACCTCTTCAAAATTCCATCACTGGATAATAGGTCACTAAAACAAACAGCATCTTTGAAATTCATATTAGATTTCTGACCATCATTTGATGCACGGGAAACATTTTCTGGCACGAGAGGTTCTTCTTGTAAGCTGGATACCTCACATGTTTCAGGCACAGTGGGATTTGAACCCACAACAGGGCATACTTCTGAATTGGACAATTCTGGATCTCTGGATGGATCATGAGCGACTGCCTCGTTTGCATTACTGATCGTAAGGGATTCATAGAGGCTTTTGTTTTCATCTTCATATGTCCTGCAGTCATTCTCGAGTTCAGTATGCAGGTGAGAAATTAATTCGTCAACCTCTTTCACATCTCCGAAACACGGGAGATTTAGCAGTCGCGTGCGCATATAGTCCAAAACTTTCAACTGGCTCTCTTTGAAACGATCTAGTAGTATCTGCAATTGATCGGAGGGGATAGTCATTTTCTGAATCAGCAGAGTAATGAGAAATACTGTAATCAACTAACAACCAATGACTCCCAAGGACGCCGACGAAAAATCTGGATACTGATTGGTCAGAACAATTATACTGAATCTCGTCCAATTACAGGGTTCAAAATTCTCTCTACCCCGTCGCCAATTGTTGTAACGCGTGTGTGTGGACTGCAGGTTTTGATAAGCAGCGTATTTATCGATCGCCTACAGTGGACACGGAAAACACGGACGGACGACCTAGTGCCCTGATTGGTCCCGCTTCGCAGTCTGTCCCAGCCAGTTGAGTGAAGAACGCAAGTCACAGCCTCTGAGTTATGAATCATTGTATTTCAAACATACTCTATTTATATACCAAGCAAACAACCCACATCGTACCATAAAATAGGAAACAACATTTGTACAATATTTAACAAGTGAAATAAACATCGACCAATAAGAAATGTACATTTAAGGTCCAAGGACACCATAGACTTAACACGATAATTATTGGTATATTTTTCCGACTATCCTAACACTAAACATGAATTCTTTTCATATAAATCTATCATTAATTAATAGACTACATTTTTGATAGGCATTTTGTTTTGTCCCAAGGGAAGACGAGTTTGTGATCAATTAAGGAAAGCATAATGTAACTCTGAACCAATTAGATTTTCAAAGGTTTATAGCCTTATCAAGCAAATCATGATATACAGAACGGAGAAGATTCAAAACTCAAGTGGATGCTTTTAGTGATGTTGAGTTCTCGGAGCTAAAGATAGTTTAGTGACAGCTTTTGTTATGATTTTGCATAACATCGTCGGCGCTTATTTCATGTAAAAGTGAGCTTCTTAGTTAATTTCTGAAATATATATCAGTTTGTTTTAAAAAAACAATCCATAGCCTGCTATATAATGACTGAATGTTCATTGATCTTCCTATTAATAACAGCACGTTTCCCAAAGTTTACCGAATATTCTTGTCACACATCAACCTATTGGTATTCCTGTGTTTTGTACTTAGACCAATCCTTAAAAGTAAAACCACTTTTGATACTTCTTAGCTTTTGTTATACTTGTATCAGGGCGGTAAATTGTATGAAATGTTTCTAGACAGGCGGATGAGAAGGGGAGACTGGGAGACAGTTAGAGATTTAGGTGTCAAGCAGTGTCAAAATGCCAGAATTTATTAAACTTTATAAATAAACGTCAAATAGTAGAAAATAACACCAAAGTAACAAAAAAAACTTGACATAATCAATCAGTCAGATCACGGATGAAACATACTTGTTCGTTGCAAACGAATACAAAATTTCTGTAGTGTAGTTCGTAAGTTTCACCTAACAATGGCATTGAATGGTTTACCAATACGACCAGCATTCGATGACATACTAGATAGCAGCGAATGCTGATACAAGCTGTAAGAATATTTAACAAAGAAAAAAGAAATTCAGAATTTTTCCAAATAATTCCTCAAATATACTTTGAAAGTCCTAAAATGGCAAAAAAAAAGGGAAGATTCAACATAACCATTACCAATCAATTGAAATTCATCTCCGTTACACAAGCTAATGGTTATCTGGGCTCAGAAGTTAAGCTGCTTAAACCGCCGTGTATATTAAAGTTTCATTAATTGTAAAGCCGGAGATTCTAAATTTTAGCATTCTTAATCGTTAGTGGCTGATAAATGCCATAAATACTTCAGGGATGTTTTAGAATCGCTTAAACTCGACAGTATACTATACTTTACCATATATACATAGGCGTGATTACGATTGATTGGTCATTGAGTAGTGACTGATGTCATGTGTGTCTAGCACAAAATGCTGATTAAATTTCGTCGACGGTCACTAGCAGGAGAGATACACTTTTACGAGTTCTGTATTTTAATGTTAAGCGATTGAACGTAGTCCATAGGAAAATCTGAACCCAGGTTTCATGTTGATTTCAGCTTTTCATTAAGACATATCTGTAATCTTGAGAGGATTCATGCACCCTATACGGTTCAAATCCTTTTCACCGTCAGATGAGTTAAAAGTGAGTTTTTCGTGTCACGAATATTTTCAAACTCTGAAATTGGGTTAGAGTCTCACAGGAAGCATCAGTTCCCTCTAGACTACAGGTATGCCGTGGTGATAAATGCCAGTTAGCACGGAACCTAGGTCTAGAGTTTTCCGTCTACTGTCTTTAGTAACCTAACATGTAAGCTGTCGTTTTGTTGAGGATAATTTTCTTTTCATGAATATCATTTATAGAACCGTAAACTGTGAGTCGTAATTCTTATATACCATACAACAGATATGAGTAAATCTAATAATAACTGACGTAAAATTGAGACTAGTTCATACATTTTGCTATGAAAATAATTCACTCACAACTGGATATTTTAACTAATCAAAAGTATCCTCATTTTCATGTGTTTTTTTTACTTCAATAGTACTTTAACATACAATACAATAATAGAGATAAATGTTCATTGTGAAGACTGAAGTGCTTAGTAATGATGACTATTATTAGGACGAGATAAAAATATGAGACGGCGAATTGATTTTTAATTTAGACTTCCTATTCAATTGATACTTTCCTATTAATTCATATATGATTTTAATCAGAGAGGGGTTTGTGAATATTGTAGTAATTTAATAGTTGAATTCATGAGTCAA